AAAGTTGCAGAGGTTTTTGATTTTATTTGTTTGGTTGCAAACTTTACCTTTCGGAGATGGTGGTGAGAGCAGCCGGTGGTGCGTCTCTGCATTGGTCACAGCCGATTCTTCATCATTCTTCGTCTCCATCACAGTCATTCGCCTCCTCTATCTCTACGCCGTCTCTAAAACGACGATGCCGGAGCGACGGAGCTCTGGTCTGCCGGTACGTGCGCAGACTGGAGCGCTCTGCTCTGTTTGGGACGCAACCGACCGGACTACACAGGTCTCGATCCTGCGAGTTTCTGAAGTCGAAGTCGAATACTTTAAGGAGAGTTTGCAGCGCAAGCTTAGATGCCTTTTCCGATGAAGAATTTTCAAAGGAAATTCAGGAATTGGCGCTGAGATTCCAGTTATCAGACGATAACGAGAACAACAATGGCAGCAACGCCGAAGGTGATGGTGGAGACGGTGCAAGCCAAAGCCAAGAAGAATCTTTGGAATCAAACAGCAGTGGCGTTAACAATTTTGCAGAAAAAGAGGAGTCTTCATGGCGAGAAACACCAGATTGGTCAGACAGAGGAGAGGAAATAATTCCAGCGAGCATTGAGCGGAAGGCGAACAGCGTCGACGTTCCACTTTCACGTCGGATGATACAGAAGAAGCTACAATTGCAAGACGGTTTCAGAGAGGCCGGTGAATCAGCTTATTGTTCTGTGAAGAAGGCCTTCTCGTCGATGGTGTTTATAATCCGAGAACTTCACAGTTACACCTTGCAAATGAGGGGACTCCTCCTCTATGAAGATCTACAGGGCATTCTTGTTCGGGTGCAGAAGGAGATTCATGCTTCTTTTGTGTGGCTATTTCAGCAGGTGTTTTCACATACTCCCACCCTCATGGTGTACGTGATGATCCTGTTAGCGAACTTCTCAGTGTATTCCATGGGCAACACCGCCATTGCAGTTCCTTCCCCACCTGCGTCTTATGGTTCAGTGGTGGAAATTCAAAACCAGAACCATCAAAAGTTTGATTCTTCAACCATGAAGACGTTCACTGTATCTTCTACCAAGGGGAATGGAAAAACCACTTCAATTGGCGGTAGCAATGGGGGTGGTGGCAAATTCCGACCGGTTGCTAGCGGCACAGACGGTGATGGGGGTTTTGAGAGGACAGACCAATTTAGAACAATTATCCCGGCCGGTGCTTCTAAGTTGTCATCTTATGGAACAACAAGAGAGGCAGAGTCAACTTCAGAGCAAATTATCAGCGAAGAAGAGATGAGTCTGTGGAATTCAATTGTTGATGAAGCTTCGAAAATGCAATTAAGAGATGAAGCTCTTGAGCCTGAAACCATAAAGAGACTCATTTCACCTCTGAGGGTGAAAATTGAGCCTGATGATTTTGCAGATTACTCTAGAACTGAGCTTGTTTATCAAGCAGCGTTGCTAGAAGAGCCTAATAGCCCTCTTCTTCTTGCCAACTATGCCCAATTCCTCTTCCTCGTTTCACACGACTATGACAGGTAAAAAAATCTATACCATCTTCATCTTCATGATTGGATCATTACTAGTTTTCCAATTCAAGTTACTCAATTACATCCGTTTGTTAATTTCAAGTTTTATCCTAAACTAGTCTTGAGTCTGAGATTTGTTTAGTCTAAAGAATTACTTAAATAAAAAACAGTACGGTTAGTTGGAATTATATTGTTGTCTTCTCTGCTTCTAAATGGGCAGAAAAACAACGGTAAATGCCCTTTTAGAATTATCACTTTGTCCTCTAGTTCATATTTGGGTTGGTTTCTCTTGAATCTTTGATAAGGGTATTGTGTGGTGCAGTGTAATTGACTGACCCCTTCATAACAAATATCCCCCTGTTTGTGTCACATTGTTACGCGTCATCTTAATGTGTTTCACATGGAAAAATCTTTCCTTGTTCCTAACATCACACCCGTACAAATTAGGTGTTGAATAGGTCATAGTTTGCTGTAAGTAATTAATACCAATAATATAACTTCACCAAACAGCTTGATAGTAGTGCGATTTATTGAGGTTGGTGAGCTGTTTATTAAATCTGGAAATTGAATCTTTAGTTGTTAATATCTAACAATACTAACCTATTAATCATTATCCTTATAAAAAAAAAAAAGAAAATTAATACCAATAATAACGAAGTTGTCTCACTTGAGTTTGCCTTCTTTGTTATTGTGAAAACAGAGCAGAGGAATACTTTAAAAGAGCAACAGAAGTAGAGCCAGCAGACGCTGAGGCATACAGCAAATATGCAAACTTTTTATGGAGAATAAAGAAAGATTTGTGGGCGGCGGAGGAGACCTTCCAGGAGGCCATTTCTGCAGATCCCACCAACTCTTACTACGCCGCTAACTATGCCCATTTTCTCTGGAACACCGGCGGCGAAGACACCTGTTTCCCCCTTGACGCCCCTGAAGAAGCGTGAACAAGTTAAAGCAGCAGAACAAACACACCCCCACTATACATAAGCAGGGATTTGTCCAACCATTTGTTTTGCGAATAGTAATAGTACTAAAAATTAAAGAGAGTAAAGGAGAGAAGAGTTGATGTTTTGAATTTTGTGTTGAGAAGAGGAATTTTGGGCAAATTCATGGGGGAAGTGGCAACACTGGTGGATGCTTGTTGCGCTTGCGCGCAGGCAGGCTGGGTGGCACTCGGATCTACATATGGTTAGAAACGACATCTGGGGATTGTGGCTCCTTTTGGTTTTCACAAACCAAATAAGAAATTGTAATTAGACCCTTTTTGTTTTTGGTCAATATAAAAATTTCATTTTAAAAATTTTAAATTGTTTAAAATCAAGATCTCTCTGTTTTCCATTCCATCTTGGGCATCCCTGTTTACTTTGAGGACCTCAAATGTACAGCAACTCTTGAATCTGTTTCCACCAGTAATAATTTTTCATGGTATAATATGAATAAGAAACATGGATTTGAAAGGCTTTGCCAGCATATAGTCACTCGGTGATCATGTTTAAAGCAACACCTTTCTATTTTTTGATCTAGCCATTTCCTTTTCATAATTTGATCTAGAAAATTCCATCAACTTTAAAATTGATAATCAAAATAAACGTGGTTTTAAAGCACGAGTATCACAATATTCATACTACCTAACTAAACAATGATTTCCAACTTATCCAATTTCACTTTTCACTTTGTTACTCAAAAGTAAAAAAAGTTCAAATCATCATCAACACAATCAATCATAAAGGAAACCACATGCACATGTTTAATCAAATAATTGGTGGATGTAAGGTTGTTCTTGTCTCATGTGTTCGGTTTTTATAGAATATATACTAATACATCACGAAGGCAACCAAGCTAATTAAGTCTCCAAGTAGCTAGTATGCAAATTAGCAGTTTGGAAGAGACACAAAGGGCTTAACATTTTGCTTTGATCGTTTTCTTAAAATGAACCTTTAGATTGAATTAAGGATATATATATTAAGTGATAAGTAGGTAGGTGGTTCACAAGTCTAGACACACGGAGTGCGGTGTGTGATATATATAAGCGTACGGGTCATTGTTACTCTGCCTAGAGAGATTGGCCAAGCAGAAAATGACGATTTTTCCACGTGAAGAGATGGTGATGCTAAGCTTCTCCTCATCTCTTCCCTTTATTATCTGTTTTTCCACTTCCCATGTGGTCGACAATCTTCCTCTCTTTATTTCCAGGTCTCACTCGGCTCGTTTAATTAGTTTTGGTTCCCAAAAAGAAGGGAAAAAAAAAATGTTCGACGTTGTAATTTTCTAATCCAGGAACATGTCAGTCTTTCCTATGTAAAATCTTCTGATGTTTCTGTTATTCTGAAGTTATCAATTCATTTCTAATATCAATTTTTACCATAATAATAAGATCTCTATTTTTTATTTTTTATTTTTAAAAAAATGGTCCTCAAGCGAAAGAGCAATGAAAATCTGCCTTGCCCAAATGGGCCTTTGGACCTTTAAACGCTGCCCATTTAACATTGGGCCTAAATTCTCTTTTGACTCTGATTTTCGAAAACCATGCTACATTTGGGCTTTTAGATTTTAAAACTCTCTTAAAAATCTTGGAGCCCATAAATAAAGCCCTGGGGTAAGGCTGCCTGTTGTAACTAATTCGACAAAGTTTCATTCCATAATTTCTTTTTTTTTTTTTTTTTTAAAGTCAACGCCGTGAAAACCAAGTCAATCGGGATCCATCGCCGGAGCTCCATGAAAAAAGCGGAGGCATTTTGGGTATCATAATCTCAAGGCTGAGGGCATCAACTTCTCCCCCAAATTCCCTCACCCCCTAATTATTCTCATTAATTCCCCATTATTTCCACCATCCACTTTCTAATTTTTGAAACAGACAGAAATTGCCCTCCATTCACATTAACCAATAGCGCTATACCAAAGGGCAGAATTGTCTTTGCATAGCTTCAGCCTTCAAACTCCAGTATTAATTTTCATTTTAAAGATAATGATTAATTAATTAATTAATTAATTATCGGTTAAAAAACAAAGCCACTAATCTCTCCTTTACTAATTTTGTCCGGGCGAGGAAGCTCAGGAGTTACAGTCACGAGAATTTCTCAGCCGTTGGATTAACCAACTTAATAATGATTATCAATGCCAGGTGGCTTAATTATTACAAGGCTTAATTGCTATAATCTAAAAAGTTCGACCCTCCCATTCCCATTTCCTTACCCTGACTCTTCTCCTATGTGGTTCCCTTAAAACTAAAGAAAAAAAAGGAAGAAGCTGCGAGTAAACTTTTTCATCTCAGAGTTCAAGGGGATTGTCATGGATGGAGGACGACAAGGTGGTGGCGGTGGTTTTGGTTATGGAAGTTTAGTCCGTAAGCCTCCGCTCTTCAAACCAACTCCGCCATTATCCGCTATAGATAGGTTCTTGTGGGGTCCAAACCACGCCACCACCACCCAACACCAGCCGCGGAAAAATGTTGAGTTTAAAGATCAGACAGTTAGTTTGAAACATGGGTTGTGTGGTTTGTCTTCCTTCGGTGGTGCAGTTGGCGGCTTTGGAGGTGGAGTTCCATGGCTAAGTAATCAAGACGAGAGGTATGATATTGATCATGTCGATGTCGATGGGGACGACTTCATTTGTTTGACACGTAGTGATGAGATTATAAACCCTAGAATGGATGTTAAGATAGCAGATCAAAAGGGTGATAAAGTTAGTGTGACGAAGAGAAGTAAGAAAGTTTCCTCGGTAGCTTTGATCAAGGGTCAATGGACAGATGAAGAAGACAGGTGATGAATATGATCAAAGGGTCTTCTATCGTTTTTCTTTTCCCCTTTATTTCTTCCTTCTTTGATATATATTTTTACTAATGTTTCTTTCCTTTTCTTCTTTTTGGCCGGATATTGTTGAAATATATATTGCATGTGGTAATAATTAAAGAAAATTGGTGAGATTGGTGAAGCAATATGGAGTGAGAAAATGGGCGCAGATCGCCGAGGAGATGGTGGGAAGAGCCGGAAAACAGTGTCGGGAGCGGTGGCATAATCACTTGCGTCCTGACATCAAGGTTTATCTTTTTCTATATTTTCCGAGTTTAATTGAATTAATTGAGGTTTCTTAATTATTATATAAATATATATGTATTAATCATATATGTTTTGTTTGTAGATTTAGTTTTGAGAAACATTTGTGTGTGTCTAACTTAGTTTTTGGTTTAGATTACCATGTTTGGATCAAATATAAATGGAAAGGGAAGAATTATTTTTCATGATTGTAAAAGATCTTGAGAAGATATATTTTTAGTTGAGTTATCTAGGATCTAAGAAGCATCGCAATATATTAATTAATTTCTAATTTGTTAATTAATCATATCTTTAGGGTTTACATTTGTAATTTATTTAAGAGCCAAAAAATAATTTCTTATCAATTTCATACATAAAACCCATTTCCTTCGAAATTCAAATTATTAATTTTTTTTTCTCACAATTCATCATCTCTTTTACAACTAAAACTACTCAATATAAAGTTAAAATTTCCTCTCATTTTCAAAGAGATATGTTTATAATTAATCATTGGACATGCAAATCATATGTTGCTTTTTCTTAAGAGGGATCAATTAAGTTTCACCCTTCATTTTTCATGTGATTTGACGAAACCTTTTCTAACAAATCATCATTTTATGGTTGAACCTCGACTTGTGACTTTTGTGATCATTGTGTGAATGTTTTACTCACATATACTATCTATCAAGGTTTAACTCTCTTATATCCCCATTCTCCCTTCCCCAGTTGCCCAATTTCCACCAATTTAAAAAATAAAAATAAAAAAAATCATCATTTATGGTTATGGAAAGGCCATGCCTCTAAACCTAGTTATCATTGTCATTTTCCCTTTTTATATGGTATATTTATTTTATTTTCACGTTTATGGAGTACTTTCCCTTGTTGCAGAAGGATAGCTGGAGCGAGGAAGAAGAGAGAATGCTAATCGAAGCTCACGCCAAGATAGGCAACCGGTGGGCAGAGATAGCCAAACACATCCCTGGAAGAACTGAAAATTCCATAAAGAATCATTGGAATGCTACAAAGAGGAGGCAGAACTCTAGGAGAAAAAACAAGCAGCAACCAAAAACCCAAAACGGCGGAAACCACCAATCCTCCATCCTCCAAGACTACATAAGAAGCCAGAGTAACTCCTCCACCCTAACCAACACCACGAATGGCTCCTCCACGGCTGCTGCAGCCACCTCTTCTAGCTCCACATTCTCTGATGACTCCTATCCTTTTATATCTCAGACTTATGATGAAGAATTGCTTTTCATGCAAACTTTATTCGGAAACAAAACTATGTCCCAGGTAGAATCATACCATGATCAAGTCAATGACCAGCCATCTCTACACTATCAGAATGTTCAGCAATGCCCGAACGTGTTTGATCTTGGGTTTTCCTCTTCTTCTTCAGAGAATACTAATTGTGTTCAAGCAGAGGAGAAGACTCACAGTACTGCTGCTCCCCTGTACTCTGACCTCTACCTTTCTTATCTGTTGAATGGGTTCGTTGAGGCACCTTGTTTGTCTCCCATGTCCATTAGCCATGGTTATGATGAGATGAGTTTAGACTTGGGGGCACATCAAGAGTACTCTAATGGAAAGAGGGAGATGGACTTGATAGAGATGGTCTCTTCGTCTCAATTCTCAAGGGGGAGCTTTTAATTAATGTGTATATATAATCCCAGTTCTAACATTTTGTGGAAATGGGGGATTTTCTGTTTGGATAGAACAAAAAGTGGTATCATGAAACCTTTCTTGATTTAATGCTACTTTGAGAACAAACGTGCTTGTTTTCTGTTACCTGAAATCCAATCACTTTCATCCTTAGCTTGTGTGTGTTTCTTTTGGTGAAATTGTTTTTATTTCATTAGCCTTTTTTTTTTTCAACATTTTGCTTTTCTATCAAACAACATTCAGCATTTAGCTTCTGTAATTGTAAAACAACATTGTGGTATAGTAAGTAAACCCTACGACATATAAATCAAAATCTGTTTTCTTGAAATGGAAAAACCTTTTTCTTTTCCTTTTCCTTTTCTTTTGTTCCTTCCCTCAGGAGGCTTCTAGTTCTTCCAAGCCCCCAAGCTGATGTGCGTTAAAAAATACAGAATGTCCTTGGAGAAGAGGCAATCTGACCATTAGTACTCATGTGCGTTTAGTTGATTTCATGACAATTTAGCCCTTGCAAAGAAAATTCCTGCAAATAAACCTGCCGAAGCATATGGTGCTCAATATTAAGGGGAAAAAAACAAACATAAAATGCTGAGCAAGAATTCAAGATGTTATAGAGTTGGTCGTTTTCATTACCAAAAGTTATGCTGAACATATTAGGTAGACTGAGTGGAACATTGAAGAGGACTACACCAGCAACAGAAATAGGAATCTTGTTTAAGGAACCTACCAGGCTATATAAAACAATGCTAGAGAACATCAGTGGCAACTTAATGTTTCAAAAAAAGGGGCATAAATCAATAACAAGCTATACATATAGAAGATTGGTGCAGCAAGCCAATGAAAAATTATATAAACAGAAAAGACATGCATATATATAAGTTTATTAACCATACAGAACATCAAATACCTATAGGTGGTTGGCCCGGTTTGATGCAAAAACCACATAGAGGTGAAGCTAATGGCAAGTCCAAGCAATCCACTAGCTGTTGCAGCAACCCAAAACATTGGCAATTGAATCACCTCACTGCGTATTACTACTGTATGCATCAGAATATACTAAAAGTGTGCTTGCACGAAGGAAAAGCATGTGATTTTCACGAAGTTAAAATTTTAAGATGTTTATTCACGTGTTTATAACATATTTCCATTCATCAAAAAGGAAAATCAACAACATGGCAAAGGGTAGAGATAGCAAATTATTCAGCAAGACCATGGAAATTTCATTCAGTGATCCTGATCTCGTCAACTGCTTTGCTCTGTCCATAACCTGTCGCAAGGTAAGCTGTTACAAAAATTGAAAACATTTCATGTTAGTGGAGAAGCTTGATAGAGAAACTAGAAACAGGAACAGTTGTTCCCTAATCCAAGTTAAAAACTACAGATGCTAATATCTGTGCCACAAATTGACTAACAGATCTCTTGAGTGTACCGAATACATTGCAGTTAAGACACAATTCATAATCTGCCAAGTATATCCCATTGGGTTGAATTGGAGATCTGTGATACCACCACTGACGGCAGAGATCATCTGTGGTAAGCAGTGACACATTACTTCACTAATGATTGACTTAATTTGTGAGGAAGAAAGAAAAAGGAAAAAAAATACAATAATTATCCCTTCACTGAATAAGAGTCAAAATTATTTGCCAGGTTGTGAGTTTTTTATGTTGAATTCAAAAGACTTCTATGTTTTTCCCTTCAAAAACAAACATGTAGATAAAATATAGCTCTTTTACCATCATAAGCATGGCAATCCACACTTTCTGGTTCTGACGTTTCCGAAGAATATACCATTCTCCAACTGCTGTTATGATATTCGTCACATTCTTTAGAATTGTCACCATTGCAATATTTATGAACTTCAAACTGAAAACACAGGCACACACTTGCATGCAGTTAGAGTTGTTTTTTTCTTCAATTTTGTTTTTCTCAGATAAATTGGCTGGAAAAGATAGGCACATTATGGATGAAGCTCATAACATACCTATACATGCTAGACACAAGCATGCCCACAAAGATTACATTGACTGGGATCCAGACCTTAGTCAGCTTCCAATTAAGCCTTTCTACTGAAACTGCTCTGCAGAGACTCAGTATGGCAACAACTAGACAAGCAATCAGATTCTGCATAAAGAATACAGGTAAACAAGTGAACTTAATCCAGGCTTTCTAGTTAAAGATATATTAAAGAAGATATTAAATATTAGAAATTTGCTCATGGAACTTTTGGCAATATTTCCGTTTTTTGTACTTCAGGCTCGAAGAGAAAAATTGCTATCCAAATGAATAACCTACTTGATAAAACATCAATGAAATTCCTGCATTGAAATTATAACTGGAGAGAACAACTTTGTTCAGCAATATCATGGTGCATGAAGAAAAGCAATAAGCTATTCCAGACAAAAGAGGTCCAGATATTGCTGCAGATCCATGCTCACGCTTTTTGTCCCCATCAGCTGGTATATTGACATTGTTACCAGCTGCTGCTCTATTCCCTCTGAAAAACCTGCTTGAACAAAGTAAGTTCGCTTAACAAACAACATGACAGTATGAAGTTTACTGCATATTTAACAACTGACAGATAATAATAGCTCTGCTCAACAATTCCATGCGGTTGTATTAAATGTCACATGGAATTCAGGCAGGTTAATTAACTTGATAAGTCGTTTACGCAGTTGCAGTTGAGAAGTAAAGAAACAAGGAGCACATGATGCTATGAAATCCATAGATGAATATGGTAAAAAAAAAACGCATATTTATACACTAGAGATTAATCAAGGGATGCCATGGAAAAGAAACAAAATTTGGAAAAACAAAAAAAAAGACATAAAGAAATTCTACCTGTCAGTCAAGGTTCTATGCTCAGCATTTGCTGCAAAATTGCTAATTGTCCTGTGTCCTTGCATGTCTATTGTACTAACCATCTCCCTTTCACCTGATATCAATTTCCCATTCAAAGAGCTTAACTCTGGTTCTTCTGGATCATAACATACAGCCTCATCTGACTTCATATTGGACTTTTTAACTGATCTATACAAATGAAAAGAAAGAGACCCAAAAACAAGTAAAAATCAATAAATCTTCAAATGAAAAGAAAAGTAGATAAACTCTTCAAAGCGAAAGACTATTAAAGCTTCGCAGATTAAGCAAAACTAAGGCAAATTAAACAAGAAACATGATCCAGAAATGAGAACTTAAACAATTAATATTTCTTCAATCCAAAACCTTCCCAGTTCACACAATGATCACAGCGTACGTAAACAGCAGCAGCATATATAGAAAGAAAAATGACGACAACGAACGAATGACTTGACGTACGTGTGCCATACCTGATTTGAAATGAAGAAGAGGAAGATGCAGAATGCGTGGGATGAAGCAGTTTTAGAGAACATGCAAAAAGGGAACCAAACTTGAAGTTGAAAGCAAGAGAGCGAGATTCAAGGAGGGAGAAAGTTTAATTCTTGAACTGGAAGAACATAATGTTCCCAAGTCAAACGTTGAGCTGCCTTCGATTTAGCCATTAAGTTTAGCAACTGGTGCAAGAATTCTCGGTTTTTTAGAATCACTTTTCGAAGATTTCGAATCTCTTTCAGTTCTTCAGAGATGTTTTGCCCGGAAAATATGGCTGGCTTCATGGCGCAGCAATGGTGGTGGGTGCTGGTGCCGTGGTGGTTAAAATATCGGTAGGTAGTTATATATATATATATATATATGCTATATACGGGTCTTGAGTATGCCCGATTTGGTCAGCTCAATATTTCAAGTTTTGGGTCCAAAATAACAGAATCCAGGGAATAGTGCCCTGAAAGGCTGAAATGAAGTGAGGTCTAGCATCCGGACTGGGCCATCAACTTAATTTACATTTGCTTTTGCATTGCATGCGATTATTATAAATTTATTATTATGTTTATGGTTATGTTGCATTTCAGAAAATAAAAAAAGAGTGATACTAATAATTTGTTAATTTGAATAAAAAGAATTTAATTTTTTTTAAAATAAGATTTTGAATTTGAATTTTATTAGTAACTAAATAAATATTGAGAGAACTTTTTTTTTATGGATTTAACGTAACTTAATTATAGATTAATTGAAATTTAATATGATTATCAGATATAAAAAAATTAATAAAAAACAAACAAAAAAGAGTGATGAGAGAAATTTTGGTTTTTTAATTAATTAAATTATATTATTTTAAAAAATAA